GCCACTGGAATTGGAGTGAAGGACAGTTGTTAGCCACCATATGGGTGCTGGAAACATAACCTGGGTCCTCTGCAAAAGCAGTCAGTGCTCTTAACTGCTGAGCCATCTCTCAGGCCCCTGATTTGTTTTTCGACGGGCCAAGGCTAGAAGGTGCAGGTCACTGCTACCACAATCCATTGGCTGGAGCTCAGTGGTAATACCTTGCTGCATGCAAGACTGGGAAGTGTAATAAAGATGTGTAAGCAGGACTGGGAGAAATGGGTTTAGTGGTCAGTAACCAGCTAATACAGTAGGGTCTTTCTCATAAATTCCAAACAAGATGTATAAGCTAGAAAAAAACTAAGGCAATTTAATCAACAAATATATATTTTTAAAAACTGGCAGCATTTTAAAAATATTTTATTTATTATTTTTATGTGTATGCATGTTATGCCTGCATGTAGGTAAATGCACCCGTGTCATGCAATGCCCACGGAAGACAGAAGAGGCTGTCAGATCCCCTGGAACTGGAGCCACAGACAGTTGTTAGCTGCCATGTGGGTGCTGGGATACGAACCTGGGTCTTCTGCAAGAACAGTCAGTGTTCTTAACCACTGAGCCATCTCTCCAGCCCCGTATTTTTTAAATTATGGCCTCTTATTTAGCATTAGTGAAAACAAATGAAGGTAGTGGGTAACCTACAAGTAGCTGTTTAAAGTCGGATATTTCTATTAAAATATACATAACATTTTACAATTTTAAAATATTTTTATTTATTATTTTATGTATATGAGTATATTGACTACATGTATGTAAATGCTCCTGTGTCTTCCAATACCATTGGAGATGAAAGGAAGGCTCTGGATTCCCCTAGAACTGGAGTTATGGATGGTTGTTAGTCACCATGTGGGTGCTGGGAATCAATCCCCGGTCCCCTGCAAGAGCAGCCAGTGCTCTTAACTGCTCAGCCATCTCTCCAGCCCACATTTTACAGTTTTAACTATTTTTAAATGTACTGTTCAATGGCATTAAGTACATTCACATTAGTGGACATCTATCACTGTTGCCCATCTCTCCAAGTTTATCATCCTAAACTGAAACTCCATGTGCAATAAATTCCTCACTTTCTGTTTCTCTCTTCCTATCACCTAACAACCACCATCCCACCTTCTGCTTCTATGAGCTTAATAGCTCTAAATACTCCATGTAAATAAAACAATACAATATCTGTTTTTGAGAGTGTAGTTTGTTTTGCCTTATATTTTCAAGGCTCATCCAAATTTAAGGCTAAATCATATTATATTATGTGTATATATACCATTTTGTTCATCTGTCTATTTGTCAATGAACAATTGAGTTGTTTCGTCTGTTTGGCAATTGTAAATAATAGCATTATGAGCACAGATGTGCAAATATCTGTGTGAAACTTCACCTCTTGGATATCTCAAGAAGAATTACCAGGTCATATGATAATTCTGTTTAAACTTCTTTTTTAAGAACTTTTTTGCAGCAGGTATATGGTTTGGTTTTGAGAGGCAGGGTCTTACTACGTAGCCCTGGATGGCCTCAAAAAAATCCCTCAGGATTCTTTTGTCTATGCCCCCTGAATGCTGGGATTATAAATGTGACTGACATGTTTGGCTGTGTTAGAATATCTTTTAAGACAAACTGATCATTAATTTCCAGGAAAGGACATGCAATACCCTAGAGACACACTCCCCAGGAAAAGTTTCACTCAATTAGAGAATTATGTCTTTTCAATTTCATTCTTTAAAAGCTAAATAATTTCATTTTCATTTTTCTTTTACTTCATTGTTATTTCAAGTCCTGGTGATCGAACCTAGGACCCTGCACAGACAAGCTTTACTTCATTATTAAGTAGAATGATAATATATGTTGAATAGTTAGTTGTTGGGGGTAATGAATAGGAACTTGACAGAAAAAAAAATACATGCTGAGAGTTCTGTTCTAATCCTTCTGTGCTTTGAGCTGTAGAACATTGCCTAGGAATGATAGAAATGGTTTACCCCACTGATCAAAATTTAAACCAAGAACATGTCAGGATCACTGTAAATGCTAACTTCTAATTAACAATTAAACCTGGCAGTAACAGTGTTCAAAGGACTGACACCATTGGCTGTGTTTTACATTATGTTATTTACTTGATAATTTTCTGGGTTTTCTGTCCTCTGGAAAGGTCCTTTAAACTACTTCTGTATACATATTTAAAATGATTAACTAGGGATTAACTAGGGCCATGAAAAAAGCTGGGCTTTCCTTGAATTTTAACCTAGACGGCAAAGGGCTTTGAATGTTTGGTTTTGATTTCATTCCCTCTCTGCCAATTCAGTATTTCTGAGTCCAGGTCCTGTTGGAATTCAAAGACCCTATGAAAATGAAAAGCAAGCACTGTAGAAACGAGTGCACTTGAACAAACCCCTAACTGAGAGGTTGATTTGTAGGCCTTTGGTTCTTACTAACGTGATTTTCAACTTTGGTGTTTTATCACAGGTATGATGGAGCGTTGATATCCTAGGTTTCCAAAAATATTCCCAAACTAAGTTTCTCCAGGAAGAAAGACTAAATAATGAAATGGGGTCCAAGCCTGATGCTGGATGATCATCTTTCACAGTTGCACATCACAAAATGCCCATTTCACTCACTCTTGTTAGCTTATCCAAGGCTAATAGATTCTGAAGTTGGTACTGAAGTCTATTTTATTTCCTTTATTTTTAAAGATTTATTTAATTATTTTAAAATTATGTGTTTATGTGGGTGAGGGGAGGTGTGTATTTGCACATGTGTGCAGGTACCCAAAAGAGGGTGTTGAGTCTCCTGCAGCCAGAGTTACACGTGATGGCGAGCCACCCTACATGGGTGCAGAGAACCGAACTCAGGCCCTCTGCAAGAGCAGCACGGGCTCTTTACTAAGCCACCTCTCCAGCCCCTATTTTTTATTTTTTAAAATACAACAATGTTTGTTATTTAACTAACAGTAGCTTATAAATCACTTACACTGTGCAATGAGGTAGCACTGTACATTAAGATGTAACATGCAAAAAGTTTTCCACTGCCAAACGTTGGAATTGCATGTGCTCATGCTTTCCTGGAGAAAGCTTTTAATATAAATAAAATACATGTTAATTTGAAGATTCTTTGAGGCTGTGTGCTTCAAAGAAAAATAAAGTCTACTTTCGTTTCTCTTTAACACCATCTTTTTAAAGAGTAAAGCCGCAGAAATAAGAGTCTGTGTGTGAAATCCATCACGAATCCTGCTCAATGGGTTTAATGTGGGCAGAGGAGAATTTAGTAACTTCCATAAAGAAAAAAACGAAGTCATTTTTAACATGAACCTTGTGCATAATTTCATGTCTGGCACCGTGGACTGCTAAAATACATAACATTATAAGTAATGGACTTTCAGCCCTCTCCTTAACAACCGTTGTCAGGTACACATTTACAGGGCTTCATGGCTACAGCACAGGCAGGCAAAGAAAACCGCAGCCAGCACGGAAATCACTCTAGAAGCCTCCCTCCATCCATCTATTCATTATACCATCTCAGTGTGAGCCCCACTCATGCTCCCAATATTCAACTCTCCCAGTCCTCCTAGCAGAGAGGAACTCTCAGGAGTGCTCTGCACTCCCTAACCTCTGCATTTATCTTGTCTCTCTTATTTTGGGGTTCTACTTTTATCCCAAAGCCGGCTTCTAAGATTTGCCCAGCCATATTGTTCTCAGTATCAATCCCTTACCAACCAAGCCTTTTCAATGGCTTCTCATATTTTTACACTACTTCAAGAGAAAATTAAAGGATGAAAGAAGGAAAAGAAGGCCTGTACATCCTTTTCTTCTTCCTTTTCCTCTAATATAAATAGGCTTGTTTCCTGCCCTCCTGTCAAGGTGCCCCATTCTCCTTAAAAAGATTATATGGATTGACATCAACTAAACTGGATTTTAGCCCTGGCCTTGAACTTGAAGATCCTTCTCTAAGCCTGTTTTCTTGTCTGCAACTGGAGAAGGTCACATGTAGGTTGTTCAAAAATTAAGCACAATGAACGGACTGCCAGATGAGTCAACAGATAAAGGCACCACCATGTCACATGACCTGAGTTCCATCTCAGGGCCCACAAGGTGGAAGAAAGGCACAGACTCTCTGGGGTTGTCCTCTGACCTCCACACATGCACCACGTCACATACCTGGCCCCAATAAATACATAAATAAATACAGTTTAAAATTATTAATGAAATCAAAAATTTTTTTAAATTTTTATTTATAATTTTTATTTTATGTGTATGCGTGTATTGCCTGCATGTAGGTAAGTGCACCGTGTCGTGCAATGCCAGCGAGGACAGAAGAGGCTGTCGGATCCCCTGGAACTGGAGCCACGGACAGTGGCTGCCATGAGGGTGCTGGGATTCGAACCCTGGTCTGCAAGAACAGTTAGTGCTCTTAATTGCTGAGCCACCTCTCCAGCCCCCAAAATTTATTTTTAAAAGTGAATCCCGGTGACATACGAGTTTTCAAGCATAAAAGAGTTGCCTTCGACAAACATCGATTGATGTTAGGGGCGTTTTACCTTCCTTAGAAATGACTCCCACAGGTTCTCCCCACCTGACTGCCCATCCAGCCTTTTCCTCAGATTTCACATCACTAACTGCTGGTGCAGCACTTCAGATGCGCCAGCCTTGGAGACGTCTGGACTCTACTGAGGTTTCCATCCTTTGAGGCTGTTCTATGGAGAAAGGACCCAGGGAAAATCCAGTAACTTCCTTTCCCTTTGGGGATCTTACACCAGCCAAACCGAGAGAACTAGGTAACCTCTCCTTCCAGGATATTTTAGGGGCGTCTACAGGAAACTTGGGTGCTGAGCAAGGGGACTGCCAGCCCAGCCTCTGAGCCACTCCTGCAGCTGCAAACCTGAGGCTAGCCCAGGAGCTGCAGCTGTGGGGCCAGCCTAGGCCTCACTGCGGGCGTGGGGCCAGGCCGGGCCTGAGCGGGACGGGCCCAGGGCCGCAGGTGGCTTCGGGCCAGGGGGCGGGGAAAGGCCACTGGGAAGGCAGTGGGGTGGCAGACTGAGGAAGTGAGGGCCCCTGGGGAGAAGGCGGCGCACAGCCAGAGGAAGGGAGCTCCGGATCTGCTGCCCCGAGGACCGGGTAGGTTGGGCGGAGGCCTGGACCCCGGCGGCCCCAGGGCCTGGGCTGGCGCTGAGGCTCCGCCGCCTTTGCCCAAGGCCCCGGCAGTTGCAAAGGCCAGGAACCGGGCTGCAGGAGCTTGGGATGGGTGGGGAGAGGGGGAGCCTGGTCTTAGAGGGCGCTGATCGCCCCAAATTTCAAGTCCCGCCCCAAAGTCTAACTGGAAAGCTGGCTGAGCGGAGTGGGTCCGCGCTTTTTCTGTTCTGCTTTGCTCCACAGCTAAGTTCTGTGGACAAGCTGGGGCAGTCCGGGGGAAGGGGCGTCTCCTTTCCCGCTCCTGTTTCTTTAATAAGCTTTGACATCAGAACCCTCAGCCTGGAGCCTTACAGTCTCATAATTACATTTTGACATGCAGGTGGGTCTCTTTAGACACCTGAGCAAAGTATATACAAGCCTGTAGCTGAGTGGTGGTTGTAAGGATTCCCCAGGTAGGATGATACCTGCCAGGGATGTCACCCAGGGATGGCATTTGCATGAGACATAAGAAAACTTGGTGTGTAGCCACACTCACTAGTCTGCTCCATCTACCTTTAAATGTGGTCTCACACGGAGGAACTACAAGCATTCATTCTTGTCTTAGAGCATCGTGGCATTCATTGTCAGACAGAATGAATGTTGGAACGAACAGAGTCCTAGGACTTACGACACCCACTTGGCCCTTTTTAGTTTACATAGACAGAAGGGGTGCAAGGCAGTTATCCTGGAGGCCTCATGCCATTCTAGGAAAAGGAAAGAAACCTTGGTGCACACTGCAAAGAAATATCAGACCTTTTTTGACTCTTGTTAGGTCAGAGAACAATTTTTGAAAAGATAACTGGAACACCAGATTCACAAAATGTGACTTTATGAAATTATTTTTTCATTTGTGGAGACCAGATGTTAAGTGTTTTGAAAGTCACTAAAATGTGTAATATAAAGTTTTGGAATAAAAGAGTAAAATGTATTTTATTTCTGTTCTTGAACTTAGAATCATAGGGATATCCAAGTGTATATTTTTTGAGGTTTAGTGAAAGTTAGTGGCCAGTGCTGCCTGAACTCGGAGCACTCTAATCCATTACACAGCCCTGCAAGGTAGCTGTGTGTACAAATGAGCAAGATTGGTCACAGAAGGGTTAAGCCTCACTGCTGTGGAGTATAAGGGGGTGTGGGTGCTGGGTGTCTGTGCTTCTGACTCCAAAACCTGTGCTCTTACCCCTTGAGACTCTTGCCACCTTGTATATTATTAGTCTGTTCCATCTCCAACAGGGGTATATTTAGTAATACAACATAAGAATGATTTCTGGTGGTCTGGCTTGGTGGTGCATACCTGTCCCAGCCACTCAGGAGGCTAAGACAGAAGAGTCACAAGTTCAAGGCCACCATGGGCTACAGAGTAAGACGCTGTATCAAAACAGATTTTTAAAAAGGGCAGGAGCTATAGCTAGTGGTGCAGTGAGTACCTACCTAGCATAAGCAGAGCCCAGTGCTCAAACCCCAATAGTACAAAAAATTATCTTTCTGTTGGGGGAGAGAGAGAGAGAGAGAGAGAGAGAGAGAGAGAGAGAGA